AGCACAGGTTGCCCTGAAGATGGGGAAGACTTTTGTAAACCTTACACAGACCAGAACCGAGAACTCAGAGAGGTAAGAATAATTCCCCCACCCATAAAATCTATAAGAGCATGTTCCAACTAGAACTAGCCAACATGGACCAAAGTGACCTTGAGTTGTCATGCACAGTGGAGACTTGAAAGTCTGATGTTGTCCTGCTGTCAATCAAAAGTCAAGAGGTGGACTCTCTGGAAATTCCCTTGGGACCTCCAATGAAACTGGAGGGCACCAGGGTGCACCATCCCTTTCCTCTCTGAGAGGACCCACTCTTTCCCTTGAGAGTGACCCCTTTTCCCTTTACCTATCCCTTCTAATAAACTCATGACCGCTACTCTGAGCAACATATCTGAAGTCTTTCTGACATAGAGGTGAAGGGAAGCTTTGGTGACAGCCTCGTTTTGCAGGAGTCCTCATGCCCTTGGAGTTCTACTCTGCATTCCCCTCATGTTGGTCACCTTTTCATATGTTCACCAGTCATTCACATATTTTCTTGTAGAAAGCGCCTGTTCAGGGCTGGGGATGTGGCTCAAGTGATAACATGATCGCCTGGCATGAGCAGGGCACTGGGTTTGATCCTCAGCACCACATAAAAATAAAATGAAAATGTTGTGTTCACCAAAAACTAAAAAAATATTAAAAATTTTAAAAAAAGAAAGTGCCTGTTCAAATATTTGGCCCATTTTTCTTACTAGATTATCCTTTAATGTGTATGGTGGTGATGTGTCTGGGTGTTTGTGTGTGTTACAATATTTTTCATATTTTGTAACTTATCTTTTCATTATGATGTATTACAAAAAGCAAAAATTTTTATTTTGATGAAGTCCCATTTACTATTTCTCTTATGTTTCAATCATTAAATGTTCCACAAAACCTTTGCAACCTACCCCAAGGTTACAAAGGTAGTTCATCTGCTTTCCTCTAGAAGTTTCATACTTTTAGGTTTAAGTTTATGATTACTTTTGGGTTGTGTAAGGTAAGTGACAATATTCTTTTCTTTCAGACTAGTCTGGATTAATATTCCTGGTTCTTTCATTTACTATGGACCACAGGAAAATCAGTGTCTCTGGCTCTGGTTCATTAATGCCATGTTATGTAGGATTGCAGAAAGGATTATGGTTAATTTATATTTAATACTAGGTGCACATTTGGCCCTGCTAACACTACAGATATAGTGTCTATCACATTAGAAGAGTGACTGTCTTGGGACAAGAATGGGAAAGATAACTGAAGTATATGAATTAAACTGTGCACAAATTGAAGGCAGGCAGAGACACTAATCCCTGAAAATGATAGGTAGTTGAGGCATTTACAACCAACTCTCCACTGTGTGCTAGGCTGGTGTATAAGGACAGGAGACACACAAATGACCAATCTCCTCAAACATTCAAATTCCACTTCAATTCACCCCTTTGGTGTTTGAAATGAAAAATTTTCAAAGTCCTTACAGAACCAAGTTTCACAAACGGCTCATATTTTGTGTTCCAAGAACTCAGAATGCATCTTAGTTCTAAGAACTAAGAATCCTTTGTTGATAGACAGACTTCCAGAGGATTATTACTTTGAAAGTAATGCGATTCAACAAATGTTTTTGCAGTACCAAGAAAATGAGGGTCTTAAGAATTCTTGAAGAATGGAATCCAGTTCATATATTCCCCAAATACAATATCCGTTTTTCAAGCCCACTATTAAAGTTTCACTCAAAAGTGAAACTCCATTTTCTCTGTATTAACTGCATGAGCTTCTTCCCAGTGTGGCTCCCAAATCTCCCCTGCTGGAAGCCCTTTTGGGGGTGCATGTTTTGCATTCCTTTAAAAATATGTTCTTCCATATACCAAAATTTCAAATAGAAATCTTCTTTTCATGGCTACAGAGAAGCTTCACTACATCTCTTTCAGAGAAAGATTACTTCATTCTTCAGCAACAAGCCTGTCATTTATCCCCTAGTGCCCACCATTCCCCAGATAGACGTCAGGGTAAGTCTAGGTGAGGAGACCATGCTCTACGTGTTTCCTGTTTGAGCCCCAAAAACACAAGAAGAAAAAAAGAAAAGCTCAACATTAGCAACATAGTAAAACTTCCCATCACACTGATCCATACAAAGTAAAGAAGAGTCTGTGTCATTCTTCTTTAGCCACAGACCACTGGGGACACACACCTGGTTTCATTGCTCATTGCTCATTGAGGTGCATGCTATAGGGGATCAAGAGTTGTTTCCACAGGAGGGTGTTAGCAAGACTCACTCTTGCATTCAGGCCATGTTAGACAATGTAGGGGAGGGTCAAGGAAGTAAAGGTCTCCTCTATATTGAATGTCATCAAAAATAGAGGGCAATGGTATGACTGGACTAAATCTTACACACAGGAACCAACTGAAACAAAAGGTAAAGAACCAAGTCATTCCCGTTCCAGGATAGCGTTTGTTTGTTAACTAGGGATTGAACCCAGGGACACATGACCACTGAGCCACATCCCCAGCCCTTTTATTTAGAGAAGATGTCCCACTGAGTTGCTTAGGGCCTCGATAAATTGGTGAGCCAGCCTTGAACTCATGATCCTTCTGCCTCGGCCTCCTGAGCTACTGGGATTACAGGCATGTGCCACCACACTTGGCAATATAGGGCATTTTTGTGTTTTGAAAATATTCATACTTGTTGAAATGTGTTGAGTCATGATTTAAAAGGGATCTTCTGCTTTTGTCCTGTTGCTCCATAACATAGAACAACCTTGTTTGGAACTGATGTTCTGCAAAGTCATTAGGGTCAGCAAGGAAACACCTCATCCTGACACTGAACCAGATCCCGCTCCCAGCATCTCCAAGGCCTCGTTGATGGTGCAAAGTCAGTTCCTAGTTGTCACTTTTATCAGTTGTAAGGAAGCATAAACCAAGGAATACAACTTTATCTGAGAGAATATGGTTGGCTTCCCTGAAAGTCTGATTTTTTTT